GCTGCACTAAACATGGAAAATATACAGTATCCCGCTGGAGAAATGAGTTTTCTCCCAGATACTCCCAGTACTTTGAGTCTGGTCTATCCTCCAGTGTTTTGTGTTCATCTCTCTTTAAAGGAGAAGCTTGGGGTTTGTAAAAAATAACAAAAAACTGATCACCTGCCCAGGTCTATAACTGGCTTTTTAAACAGTGAACATGGAGGGCGTCACTATGTGAAAGATTCAAAAAATAGAAATATCCAGTTCAACTTGCCAGCCTACCCCAGTCTAATCACGGCTATTGTCGGCAAGGAACATGGATATGTATAACTTATCAACAGAGGGGGATAAGAAAAGCCAGTTCAATCTGCCAGCCAGTTGGCCAACTATCAAAGACCAAAATAACCTATCTAGAAACATGCGTTTAAAAACAGGGGTTTAGTTAGCACACATTTGCAAATACATACGTAAGCCACAGAGCCACGTCACGGCACCCTGAGTATCTGTGGTCCTAACTCTATAAATCTAGAGAGTCCTCACAGTGGAGGCACATGCATTTAAATGGATAGAAACAAGGGCAGATAAACGTGAGGGTGCCCCACCCCTCATTAAAGGTATTGGGAGCGCACCTGACACCCAGCATATAGCACAACGGCAGCTAGGGAGTCCAGTGCACCCACTGAACCTACAAAACATACAAAAAAATAAACCTACATACTCACTTCTATGCCACAGCATTGGTGTGATGCTGAACCTGCCCCACGATGGCACTAAGCCTGAGAACTGTGTGATCACATGACCACTGATTGCTCAGTTCTCAGTCTGTGGAGAGCGGTGACTGTCAGTACACATGATGAAAAAATCATACGAAAAAAAAATGTTTTTGGAGCGATCATCTGATAATCTGATCATTATTACACAGCTTCCGAGAGCCAATTTTGACAGTTTATGCAAAATTATCCAAAGGGACAAGCACAACATTTTTTCTCCTATAATAACAGATTTTCGTTTAATCACTACAGTATTCATCAGTAAAAAATCGGGTGACCATGATCGCGAATGCTTGTAAACAAAAAAATACATTGCAATACAATACAGTACATGATCGCAGAAAGTTGCATTGTGTCTTACAAGAATTTTAATAACTTTAGTGACCTATTCATTTTTGATATGAGATTCGCATGCAAAAAAACAGACGATCATTCGTTTGATAGTGTATACCAGGCTTTAGTCATCGTTCTCCCCTCTGCTCCTGCAGCTGTCACTGGATCAACAAGCTGCCTCCTCAAACCCCCCTGTTCAGGAAGGGCTGGCTCCAGTTCTCAGCCACAAGCTGAGAGGCCAAGCAAGCTGTCAATCAGGCAGTTGGGTGGATCCTGACAATATTGTTGGGATCCTTCCAGAGCCTGGAGTGGCCCTGCTGTGTTAGCTGATAGCAAGCAATATCAGCTGATTCTGGGTCACAGGAGAGCAAAGTTAAGTGCACTCCTGTGACCCACAAGAGAAGTATGGCCAAAAAAGCATTGGCCATACTTCTCTTTTAATTTATTCCTTAGCTTATTGCCAAAAATCCTCTTAGCATTTGTTTTAACCACTAGCCTACAGGGCACTTTTACCCCCTTCCTGCCCAGGCCAATTTCCAGCTTTCAGCGCTGTCACATTTTGAATGACAATTGCGCGGTCATGCAACACTGTACCCATATGAAATTTTTATCATTTTTTTGTGACAGATAGAGCTTTCTTTTGGTGGTATTTAATCACCTCTGGGTTTTTTATTTTTTCTTAAACAAACCAAAAACCACTGAAAATTTTGAAAAAAAAATGTTTCTTCTTAGTTTTTGTTTCAAAATTTTGTAAATAAGTGATTTTTCTCCTTCACTGATGTGCGCTAATGAGGCTGCGCTGATGGGCACTGATAGGCTGCACTGATGGACACTGATAGGTGGCACTGATGGGCACTGATGAGGAGGCACTGGTAGGTGGCACTGATGGGCATTGACAGGCATCACTGATGGGCACTGAAAGGCAGCACTGATACATGGCACTGATAGGCAGCACTGATAGGCGGCACTGACTGGCACTAAAAGGCGGCACTGACTGGCACTGATAGGCGGCACTGACTGATACTGATAGGCGGCACTGACTGGCACTGTTAGATGGCACTGACAGGCACTGATAGGCGGCACTGATGCGCATTGATAGGCAGCACTGACTGGCACTGATAGGTGGCACTGACTGGCACTGATAGGTTGCACTGATTGGCAGCACTGATAGGTGGCACTGATTGGCATTGATAGGTGGCACTGACTGGCACTGATGGGTGACACTGAAAGGCAGCTCAGATGGACACTGATATGTGGCATTGATGTGGCACTGATGGGCACTGGCACGAGGCACTGACAGCTGGCACTGATGGACACTGACAGGTGGCACTGCTGGGGCCACACTGATCATCAGGGCACACTGATCATCAGTGCACTGATGATCAGTGTACATGCCCCCTCCGCGGAAAGCCGATTACCGACTCTCCTCTCCTCTCGAGCTGTCAGCGTGACAGCTCGAGAGGAGAGAAATGCCGATAACTGGCATTTCCCTGTTTACATGTGATCAGCTGTGATTGGACACAGCTGGTCACATGACCGAGCGGACATTTTCGGCTCTTTCCGTGATCGGTGATCCGCTGTGTCCGAGGGACACAGCGCACCGTTGATCGCCGCGCTGCGCACTCCCTGAGAGCCACGCATTTGCAGTGAGAATAGGAGGACGTCATATGACGTCCTCCCAGAACGAGAGAACCACCTTGCGTACGTCTTATTACTATATGGCGGGCAGGAGGTGGTTAAGTGGTCTTTGTAAAGGGGCCTTGCTAGTATGACTGTGGTCTGTTGGCTTCACTGGCACACATTCTACTATGCACAATAACATGCCTGCACTGAAGTTTGAACTACTTCTGAGAGTTGAGTAGAGATGGCCTTTTGTGCTGGATGGTATCAACGCAGGTTCTTTTTTAAAGAAAAAAATCCCACTTAAACCCATTTATATATTTTTAGATGCACACCCCTATTTTGTAGATACAGGGATCACTGTCAGTTGTGTATTCTCTGTTAAATTAATAAATGCATTATGCTTTTAACTGAATATAGCACTGTGCTTGTTAAAATAAATATAGGATACAAGTAAAATGTGTTAGCAAATAAATAAACATGTACAAAGCAGATCTAAATAAATATTTTTAGTTATTACAAAGTAAGGGATTGTAAGTAAGGAAGCATTTAACCCTCGTTCACACCAATGCGATTTGTGATACGATTTGACAGTTCAAAATCGCATGACAGATCACACCCCATTTGTGCCTATGGAATCGTTCAAATCGGTGCGACTCTGACTTTGCGATGTGGCACCAATTTTGAAAACAGGTTCTTGCACTATTTTTGGCAATTTTATGTGCTAGTTCACTGAGTCGCAGCCAGATAAGCCGCACATGAAATCATACTTACCAGCGGCTTTGAAATCGCACTACTTCAAGTGAAGTAGCGTGATTTCAAAGCCGCATTCAGTGTGAACCAGGGCTTAGCCATAATTAGTTTTTTCTGATAACAAAGTAATTATTAGGGAGTACTTGCCAAACCCTGGTTTTTATAAAGAGGTACATATTTTAACCAAGCTGAGAACCAATGGACAAGGTTATTCTATATTATGTAATGCAAATTTTTTTCTATGGTCACCTTTAAAAGTTAACATTTATTTTGGCCTACTAAAATAAGCCATGAAAAGAGCACTGATAAAGAACAAATTGTCAGAAACCACCTTTGCTTTACCAGCCTACAGTATGTCATCACTTCTCTTATCTTATTTGAATAAATTGATTATGTATTCTACTCTAATGGGTTTACACAATAAAGTACTGCAACTTACCACCTGTTACAACCAAAGTAACAAATCAATTTACTAAAGTTAAATGAGTGAACAATCAATTCTGTTTTGGTTGCTATATACTACCATAGTCTCCCGCTTGTTCTTTGCCTTTTTGTACAAGCCAGACCAGAAAAAAAAAACCTTTTTTTGTGTGAAGAAGTGAGAAAGTTTTTTTTTACTATATTTACTTTAGCATTTAGTTTACTTTTACTTTATTGTTTAGGTACTCACATGCAGGCCCAGGCAGCACAAGAATGTTAAAAATCTTACTGGGTACAAAGCATTCAAAAAAAAGTGCAAGCTGAGGACTGGAAGATATCTTTACAGGTTATGTGTGAGGACTTTTACATTTACAAATTTAAATTGTGATTTACTTTGCAATTATTTTAGTGTTTTGTCACGTTTCAGGTTACAAAGATCCTATAGTGTTGAAACAAGGTTGACTAGTAAAATAGCAAGTTTTGTAACAGAGCTTTATGGAAGGATTAAAATGTATTAAAGCAGGGTTGCAGTCTTCTCCATGTGATTATAAAAATACTTTGTAATACCTTACAACATTAAAATAATATTATTGTATATTGTAAACACTTTTATGGCACATGTAGTGACTTGCATAAATGTTCACCTTCTTTGGACTTTTCAAATTATGTGGTTATACATCTCGGAATTAAAAATGAATTCGAAATTTTATGAGACTGAAACATCATAAATGCCACAAAGATATCAAAAACAAGTGTTTGAGAAGCTTAAATTGTGAACATCCCTTGGAGCACTGTTGAATCCATTAACCAGTTGCCTACCGAGCACTTTTACCACCTTCCTGCCCAGGCCAATTTTCAGCTTTCAGCGCTGTCGCACTTTGAATGACAATTGTGTGGACATGCACCACTGTACCCAAACAAGATTTGTGGTATCACCTTTTTGAGACAGATAGGAGCATTTCTTTTTGGAGGTATATTAATCACCATTGGGTTTTTTATTTTTTGCTAAAAAAAAAAAAACTAAAAAAATAAAAAGTTTGAAAAAAAAAACTTTTTTCTTAGTTTCTGTTATAAAAGTTTGTAAATAAGTAAATTTTTCATTGATGTGTGCTAATGAGGCTGCAGTGATGGACACTGATAGGCTGCACTGATAGGCTGCACTGATGGGCATTGACAGGCATTACTGGTGGGCACATAAAGGCAGCACTCATATATTGGCACTGATAGGCGGCACTGATAGGTGGCACTGACTGGCACTGATAGGCAGCACTGATTGGAACTGTTAGGAGGCACTGATGGCAACTGATAGGTGACACTGACACTGATAGGCTGGATTGATGGCCACTGATAGGTAGCATTGACTGGCACCGATAGGCAGCACTGACTGGCACTGCATATTTGGCACTGACTGAAAAGCAGCTCTGATGTGCACTAATGGGCATTGGTATGTGGCATTGATGGGCATTGACAGGTGGCACTGATGGGGCTACACTGATCACTCTCAGGGCACTGATCATCAGTGCCTTGATGATCAGTGTACATGTCCCCTCTGAGGAATGTTGCCTTCCGGCTCTCTCCTGTCACACTGTCAACGCGAAGAGAGGACTGCCGATAATCGGCATTTCCTATTTACATGCGATTAGCTGTGTTTGGATACAGCTGATCACATGATAGAGCCTACGTCATCGGTAGAGATGAGCGAATCGAAGTATCCGAAGTGGAATTCGAGTCGAATATCGAAAAATTTCGATTCGTGCCGAATCCGAAAAATAGCCTAATTCGGACGCGCGAATCGAAAATTTTTCAGAAAATGGCGGCTGACATGTGCGGCGACGGAGCGGGGATGTCTGGGAAGGCGCGCAGACACAAGGCGCGCTGACCCATAATGCATTTCCTCAACTACATGTGATCGCATCAGCCTATCAGCAGCCAGCCAGCCAGCAACTGTGTAATGGTCGAGCTATAAATAGCGGCCATTTTGGAATTCTTCATTTGCCTGCAGTTATTGAACAGAGGCAGACCGCTCTGTACTAGGGACAGGGACAGAGTTAGGGCCACAGAAACGATAATTGGGGACAGAGAAAAGTTACTTAGGGACAGAGAACCATTACTCAGGGACACAGACTTGTTAATGAGGGCCACAGAATCGTTATTTAGGGACAAAGAAACGCTAGTTAGGGCCACAGAATTCATAATCAGGACAGACAGAATTGTTACTCAGTGCCAGAGAATTGTTACTTAGGGCCACAGAAACGTTATTAGGGCCACAGAATTGTTACTCAGGGACAGACAGAATTGTTACTGAGTGCCAGAGAATTGTTACTCAGGGACAGACAGAATTGTTACTGAGTGCTAGAGAATTGTTTACTTAGGGCCACAGAAACTTTAATTAGGGCCACAGAATTTTTACTCAGGGACAGACAGAATTGTTACTGAGTGCCAGAAGAATTGTTACTCAGGGACAGACAGAATTGTTACTGAGTGCCAGAGAATTGTTACTTAGGGCCACAGAAACTTTACTTAGGGCCACAGAATTGTTACTCTGCACAGACACAGAATTGTTACTCGCACAGACACAGAATTGTTACTTGATGGGCCACAGAACTGTTACTTAGGGCCACAGAATTGTTACTCGCACTGACACAGAATTTGTTACTCGCACAGACACAGAAACTGTTACTGAGGGCCACAGAACTGTTACTTAGGGCCACAGAATTGTTACTCGCAACAGACACAGAATTGTTACTCAGGGCCACAGAACTGTTACTTAGGGAACAAAGAAACGCTAGTTAGGACCACAGAATTCATACTCAGGGACAGACAGAATTGTTACTGAGTGCCAGAGAATTTGTTACTCAGGGACAGACAGAATTGTTACGGAGTGCCAGAGAATTGTTACTCAGGGGCCACAGAAACTTTACTTAGGGCCACATAAGAATTTTTTACTCAGGGACAGACAGAATTGTTACTGTGTGGCCAGAGAATTGTTACTCAGGGACAGACAGAATTGTTACGCGTGAGTGCCAGAGAATTGTTACTTAGGGCCCAGACAGAAACTTTACTTAGGGCCACAGAATTGTTACTTCACACAGACACAGAATTGTTACTCGCACAGACACAGAACTGTTACTGAGGGGCCACAGAAAACTTTACTTAGGGACAAAGAAACGCTAGTTTAGGGCCACGGAATTCATACTCAGGGACAGACAGAATTGTTACGGGAGTGCCAGAGAATTGTTACTCAGGGCCACAGAAAACTTTACTTAGGGCCACAGAATTTTTACTCAGGGACAGGACAGAATTGTTACTGAGTGCCAGAGAATTGTTACTCAGGGACAGACAGAATTGTTACGGAGTGTCAGAGAATTGTTACTCAGGGACAGACAGAATTGTTACTGCCCTTGAGTGCCAGAGAATTGTTACTTAGGGCCACAGAAACTTTAATTAGGGCCACAGAAATTTTTACTCAGGGACAGACAGAATTGTTTTTTATTTTTTTTTTTTACTTTTTTTTGGAGTGCCAGAGAATTGTTACTCAGGGACAGACAGAATTGTTACTGAGTGCCAGAGAATTGTTACTTAGGTCCACAGAAACTTTACTTAGGGCCACAGAATTTTTTACTCAGGGACAGACAGAATTGTTTACTCAGTGCCAGAGAATTGTTACTCAGGGACAGACAGAATTGTTACTGAGTGCCAGAGAATGTTTACTCATTAGGGCCCCAGAAACTTTATTAGGGCCGACATAATTTTTACTCAGGGACAGACAGAATTGTTACTGAGTGCCAGAGAATTCTTACTCAGGGACAGACAGAATTGTTACTGAGTGCCAGAGAATTGTTACTTAGGGCCACAGAAAACTTTACTTAGGGCCACAGAATTGTTACTCGCACAGACACAGAATTGTTACTTCGCACAGACACATAACTGTTACTGAGGGCCACAGAAAACTTTACTTAGGGACAAAGAAACGCTAGTTAGGGCCAAGGAATTCATACTCAGGACAGACAGAATTGTTTACGGACGTGTTGCCAGAGAATTGTTACTCAGGGCCACAGAGAAACTTTACTTAGGGCCACAGAATATTTTACTCAGGGACAGACAGAATTGTTACGGAGTGCAGAGAATTGATTTACTCAGGGGACAGACAGAATTGTTACTGAGTGCCACAGAATTGTTAACTTAGGGCCACAGAAACTTTAATTAGGGCCACAGAATTTTTACTCAGGGTCAGACAGAATTGTTACTTGAGTGCACAGCCATTGAGAAATTGTTACTCAGGGACAGACAGAATTGTTTACGAGTGCCAGAGAATTCATACTCAGGGACAGACAGAATTGTTACTGAGTGCCCAGAGAATTGTTACTCAGGGACAGACAGAATTGTTACGGAGTGCCAGAGAATTGTTACTCAGGGCCACAGAAACTTTACTTAGGGCCACAGAATTTTTTACTCAGGGACAGACAGAAATTGTTACTGAGTGCCAGAGAATTGTTACTCAGGGACAGACAGAATTGTTACGGAGTGCCAGAGAAACTTTCTTACTTAATTGTTTACTCAGGACACAGAATTGCCACAGAAACTTTTACTTAGGGCCACAGAAACGCTTGGTTACTCGCACAGACACAGAATTGTTACTCGCACAGACAGAGACACAGAACTGTTACTGAGGGCCACAGAAACTGTTACTTAGGGACAAAGAAACGCTAGAATTGTTACGGGCCACGTGGAATTCATACTCAGGGACAGACAGAATTGTTTTACGGAGTGCCAGAGAATTGTTACTCAGGGCCACAGAAACATTTACTTAGGGCCACAGAATTTTTACTCAGGGAACAGACAGAATTGTTACTGAGTGCCAGAGAATTGTTTTACTCAGCGGTCAGACAGAATTGTGTACGGAGTGTGCCAGAGAATTGTTAACGTCAGGGACAGACAGAATTGTTTACTGAGTGCCGAGAGAATTGTTACTTTAGGGCCACAGAAACTTTAATTAGGGCCACAGAAATTTTTACTTCAGGACAGACAGAATTGTTACTGAGTGCCAGAGAATTGTTACTCAGTGGACAGACAGAAATTGTTACTGAGTGCAGAGAATTGTTACTTAGGGCCACAGAAACTTTACTTATGGCCACAGAATTTTACTCAGGGACAGACAGAATTGTAGCACTCAGTGCCATGAGAATTGTTACTCAGGGACTGACAGAATTGTTTTACTGAGTGACAGAGAATTGTTACTCAGGGCCCCAGTAAGAAACTTTACTTAGGGCCACATAATTAATTTTTACTCAGGGACAGACAGAATTGTTACTGAGTGCCAGAGAATTCTTACTCAGGGACAGACAGAATTGTTACTGAGTGCCAGAGAATTGTTACTTAGGGGCCCACAGATAACTTTACACTTAGGGCCACAGAATTGTTACATCGCACAGACACAGAATTGTTACTCGCACAGTCACAGAACTGTTACTGAGGGCCAAGAGAAACTTTACTTAGGGACAAAGAAACGCTAGTTAGGGTCACCGGAAATTCATACTCCAGGGACAGACAGAATTGTTACGGAGTAGCCAGAGAAATTGTTACTCAGGGGGCACACTGAAACTTTACTTAGTGGCCACAGAAATTTTTACTCATGGACAGACAAGAATTGATTTTACGGAGTGCCAGAGAATTGTTACTCAGGGACAGACAGAAATTGTTACTGAGTGCCAGGAGAATTGTTACTTAGGGCCACATAAAACTTAATTAGGCCACAGAAATTTTTACTCAGGACCAGACAGAATTGTTACTGAGTGCCAGAGAATTGTTACTCAGGGACAGACAGAATTGTTACCCGAGTGCCAGAGATGAATTGTTACTCAGGAAAAAAAACAGACAGAATTGTTACTGGAGTGCCAGACCAGAATTGTTACTTTAGGGCCCACAGAAACTTTAATTAGGGCCACAGAATTTTTTACTCCAGGGTCAGACAGCAATTGTTACTGAGTGCCAGAGAATTGTTACTGAGGGAACAGACAGATATTGTTACGGAGTGCCAGAGGTAATTGTTACTCAGGGCCACAGAAACTTTACTTAGGGCCAGAGAGATATTTTTACTCAGGGACAGACAAGAATGTGTTACTGAGTGCCAGAGAGATTGTTACTCAGGGACAGACAGAATTGTGTTACTGAGTGCCAGATAATTGTTTACTCAGGGCCCAGAAACTTTACTTAAGGGGCCACAGAATTTTTACTCAGGGACAGACAGAATTGTTACTGAGTGCCAGAGAATTGTTACTCAGGGAACAGACAGAATTGTTACTCTGAGATGCCAGAGAATTGTTACTTAGGGCCACAGAAACTTTACCTTAGGGCCACAGAGAATTGTTACTCGCACAGACACAGAATTGTTACTGAGGGCCACAAGAACTGTTTCTTGGGGCCACAGAAACGTTAATCAGGGACACAGAAATTGTTACTGAGGGCCGACTCATGAACTGGTTACTTAGGGCCACAGTAATTGTTACTCGCACAGACCACAGAATTGTTACTACAGGGACACAGAATTGTTACTCAGGGACACATAAATCGTTTAATTAAAGAGTATGTCCAGACAACATGCAGAGGAGGAGTGCAGAGGAGGCAAGTGTTTTAGGAGCGAGGCAGACGTTGGCAGCAGAGGAAGGGGTCGAGGCAGCACTATTCGCAGCCAGAGGCCATAGTGCTACCCCGGTGTCATCCAGCGGTCGTGTCTCCACCGACAAACCCTGCGTCGTCGATTGGTTGGCTCGGTCGTCTTCCTCTTCCCAGGTCACCTCTGACAACCTACAGCAGCCAACGGTAGGTCCGGTTGGGTACGTCAGACACAACCGTTAGTTGTCATGGGCCCGGGACCTAGCCCACTGAAATCACGATGTCTCGTTACCTGCCCTGTCCTTTGGTGTTCCCTCACCAAGCGAAGTATCGCATGACTGTGAGGCTCAGCCCCACTGTACAGTGAGGAGGAGCTAACAGAGGGCGGTCCAGGAACAGGGGGGAGACACTTCCGCCTTTTCAGCAGCTAGGCGAAGAAGTAGTGGCGAGGATAGTGTGGCCGGTATATAAAAAAAAAAAATAAAAAGAGCCGAGTCTATGAGACAGTCTGTGTCTCCCTGACCCTCAGACGCCAAGCCGAGGGGGCTAGTAGTGAGGGCGGAGACCCTACTTTGATGATGAGGTGGGTTGATCGCACTAGGCAGCCTCGTTCGTCATCAGGCAATTTTCTGCCGCATCATCCAGCGAGGAAGAGAGGTGGCAGCTTGGTACAGTGATGCCGAAACAGTCGGGGTGTGGTTTGGGCCCAGGAGACAGCAGAGAGGGTCTGCAGCAGAGTGTTCAGTGGAAGCAGTATCAGTGGTGGACAAGACGGCCCCACGGAGTAGAGCACCAGCTCACATCTGCAGCCTAACCTCGCTCACGGCCAGTAGTGGTGCCGGGTCTTGTGCACGTAGGAAGCAGCAGTCAGCCAGGTGAGTGTAGTATCGGGGCAAAGTTTTCCATACTCGGCGGTGTGGCATTTTTTTCGTCAAGACCGCCCGGGAAGTAAGTAACTGTAGCCGTATGTCGACCTATGTTGGCCCAGCAGGGCCGCCCCGCCCCAGGCCACAGCCACAGAAACCCCAGCCCCCCCAGAATGTCAAGCGTGGCCAGGGGGCCCATGTTGTGGACTCATTTGGGCCATGTTTGGGACATTGGGAGACCTTTCCATTGCTGCTGTCCTCACATCGACCACACTACTGCATTGTGCCACTTCAGGTCTCCCTCACACGCTGCTGGGTGTGTGTTTTGGTATTTTTTGACATAGGGTGCTCGGGCAGATTACGGGCCTCCCATAGCTGCTGCCAGGCCCCTAATCTGCCGCAATCACAAGGCCCCTGGCATACACGCCACTTCCTCATGCTGCTGCCAGGGGGGGGGGGGGGGGGGGGGGGGGGGGGGGGGGGGGGGGGTCCAGAGTCTCTCCATGGTCCCCCTGTACGGCCTCCTCAAATTGCTGCTGTCTCCATCGCCACACTCTGCCAGGTGTGCCACTTTCCAGGTCTCCTCACACTTGCTGGTGTGTAAAATTTTTTGACATAGGGTGCTGGCAGAATTAAGGGCCCTCCCATAGCTGCTGCCAGGCCTAATCTGGCCATAGGCCCCTATTCAGGTCTACCGCCTCACTCATGCTGCTGCCAGGTCCATAAGTCTGTCAGGGACTCCTGTAACGGGCCTCCCATGCTGCTGCTGTCTGCCATCGCCACACTCTGCCATTGTGCCACTTTTCAGGTCTCCTCACAACACTGCTTGGTGTGTAGAATTTTGACATGGGTTGCCTGGCAGATTAACGGGCCTCCCATTGCTGCTGCCAGGCCCCTACCATCTGACATAGGCCCCTTTTATAAAGACCGCTTCCTCTTGCTGCTGTGCCAATTCCAGAAGTTCATTGCCATTCCACTTTCAGGTCTCCTCACATGCTGGTGTGTAGAATTTTATAAGACAGAAAGGGTGCTGGCAGATATTAAGGGCCTACCCATAGCTGCTGCCAGGGCCCCAAATCTGTCCATAGGGCCCCCTATATACCGCCTCCTCATGCTGCTGCCAGAGTCCAGAGTTCTGGATCATGAGGTCCCTGTTACGGCCTCCCATTGCTGCTGTCTCCATCGCCACACTCTCATGCCATGTGCCACTTTCAGGTCTCCTCACACACTGCTGGTGTGGTTGAATTTTTTTTTGACATAAGGGTGCTGGCAGATTAAGGGCCACCCATAGCTGCTGCCAGGCCCCTAATCTGCCATAGGGCCCCTATAAACCGCCTCCTCAATGCTGTGCTGCCCTGGTCCAGTGTCGCTGAATTTTCCATGGGTCCCCCCTGTACGGCCTCGCCCCAATTGCTGCTGTCATCCTCGCCCCACCTCATGCCATGCCACTCGCCTACTCTTTCCCCAGGTCTCCTCACAACCACTGCTGGTGTGTAAAAGTTTTTTTTTTGGGGGGGGGTGGGGGGCAGGGGGACAAAAACGGGGCCTCCCTGCATAGGCTGCTGCCCAGGCCCTTAGCTGCCTAGTGCGCCTATTGTATCACACCATCCTCAGGCTGTGCCAATTTCCTGAGCATCATGGGTTTCCCCATCGGCCTCCCATTGCTGCTGTCTCCATCGCCACAAACTCTGCATTGTGCCACTTTCAAGTCTCCTCACACACTACTCGCGGCCACTTACGCCAACCGCATCCACCCAGGAGCTGTCTGGTGTAGAATATGTGTTGCCTCCTCATGACTGGCTGCGTGCGGGGGGGGGGGGCAGATTAAGGGGCCTCCACATTAGCTGCATGGTGTCCCTAATACTGCCCATTTCTGCTGGCGTCCCTATTTCTATACCGTGCCATGTTAGGACACCTCCTCATGCGAAGGGGGCAGCCATCTCACCACAGTCTGTCATAGGTCCACCTGTTCCGGCCCTCGCCCATTGTGAGTGTCGTCCCTATCGCCACACTTGGCCTCATGGTCCACTTTCAGGTCTCCTCACTTGCACTAGACACAAAACTGCTGGTGTGTAGAATTTTTTGACATAGGGTGCTGGCAGATTAATGGGCCTCCCATTGCTGCTGCCAGGGCCTAATCTGCCAGGCCCCTATATACCGCTTCACTCATGCTGCTGCCAGGGTCCCTGTGACTCCTCATGCCATGTGCTCCACTTTCAAGTCATCCTCACATCTGTGGTTGTAGAATGTTTTGGACATAGGGTGCTGGCAGATTTAAGGGAGGCCTCCCAATAGCGCTGCAGGCTTTCCCTAATCTGCATAGGCCCTAAAAACCACCCCCTCCTCATGCTGCTGCCATGTGCCAGGTCTGTCATGGGTCCCTGTATCGGCTCCCATTGCTGCTGTCTCCATCGCCAGAGCACTCTGCCAATTGGTGCGAACTTTCAGGTTCTCCTCTTACACACTGCTGTGTGTTAGAATTTTTTTTTGACAAAAATGAATAGGGTGCTGGCAGATTATGGGCCTCCCATTGCTGCTGCCAGGCCCCTAATCCTGCCCATAGGACTCCCTATTCTATACCGCTTACCATGCTCTGCCAGGTCCAGAGTCTCTCTTGCCATGTGCCAGCCTTTCAGGTACCAGACCTCACTACTGCATGGTGTGGTAGAATTTTTTTGACATTAGGGTGCCCAGGGCGAGATTACGGGGCCTCTTCCATAGCTGCTGCCAGGCCCCTCCATTAAGTCAGATATTTTAGGGTCCCCTATATTAACCGCCTCCCATGCTGCTGCCATGTCAAGAGTTCCTGTCTATGTGGTTCCCTGTAACGGCCTCTCCATTGAAATGCAGTACACTACATCGTACACACTCTGCCATGTGCCACTTTCAGGTCTCCTCACACACTGGTGTGTAGTTGAATTTTTTGACATAGGGTGCTGGCAGATTACGGGCCTTCCTATAGCTGCTATGCTCAGGCCAGGGCCCCTAAATCTGGCCATACGAGGCCCCTATATACCGCCTCCTCATGCTGCTGCCACAGGTCCAGTGAGTCTGTCATGGGTCCCCCTGTACTAGGGCCTCCCCATTGCTGACTGTCTCCATCACCCACATCTCTGCCATGCCAATTTCTTTCAGGTCTCCTCACGACACTGCTGGGGTGTGTTGAATTTTTTTGACATAGGGTGTGCTGGCAGATTAAGGGCATCCTCCCATAGCTGCTGCTGCCAGGGCCCTAATCTGCCATTGGGCCCCTATAAATACCTGCGCCTCATCATGCTGCCTACTAGTCCCAGGTCCTAAATGAGTCTGTCATGGGTCGCCACCCTGTGAACGGCCTCCCATTGCAGTTGCTGTCTCCATCCCAAACACACTCTGCCATGTGCCACTTCATTTTTTATCAGTGTCTCCCTCACACACAGCTGCTGGTGGTGATTAGAAATTTTTTTTTTGACATAGGGGTGCTGGGCAGATTATGGGTCCCTCCCATAGCTGCTGCTGCCAGATCCCCTAATCTTCCATTAGGCCCCTATATACCGCTGTCCTCATCTTGCCTGCCCAGGTCCAGAGTCTCCCCATAAACCATTGTGCCCACTTTCAGTGTCTGCTCACACAAGCTGGTGTTCCATAGAAGTCTTTGTTCAATATGGGTGCTGGCAGAAGTTAAGGGCCTCCCATAGCTGTCTGCCAGCCCCTAATCTGCCATAGGGTCCCCTAATTCCTCATTGCTTGCTGCCAGGCCCAGAGTCTGTCATGGGGTGCCTGCATCGGCCGACCACATTTGGCTGCTGTCCATCGCCACACGAACCGACGCTGCCAGGTGTGCCACTTTTTCAGGTCTCCTCACACACATCTGCTGGTGTGTAGAATTTTTTTGACATAGGGTGCTGGCAGATTAATCAGGGCCTCCCATAGCTGCTACATGCCCCCCCATGCCCCGAGCCAGGCCCCTTAATCATACCCCTAAGACGTGCCATGGCGCCCTATTAAAACCTGCACTAAATACCGCCTCCTCATGCTGCTAAAAATGCCAAGGTCCAGAGTCTGTCATGGGTCCCTGTACGGCCTCCATCCCATTTCAGCTGCTGTCTCCATCGCCACACACAGTAAAAAACTCTGCCATGTGCCACTTTCCAGGTCTCCGAGAACTCACACACTGCTGGTGTGTAGAATTTTTTGACATAGGGTGCTGGCAGATTACGGGCCTCCCATAGACTGCTGCCACGCAGCCCCTAATCTGCCATAGGCCCCTATATACACGCCTCCTCATGCTGCTGCCAAGGTCCAGAGTCTGTCATGGGTCCCTGTACGGCCTCCCCCATTGCTGCTGTCTCCCCTCCATCGCCCACACTCTGCCATGTGCCACTTTCAGGTCTCCTCACACACTTCACCTGCTGGGTGTGGTAGAATTTTTTGACATAGGGTGCCTGGCAAGATTAACGGGCCTCCCATAGCAGCTGCCAGGCCCCTAATCTGCCATGGGCCCCTATATATCTAATATCCCACCGCCTCCTCATGCTGCTGCCCGCAAGGTCCAGGAGTCTTGTCATGGGTCCCTGTACGGCCTCCCATTGCTGCTGTCCTCCATCGGGCCACACTCTGCCATGTGGCCACTTTTCAGGTCTCCCTCACACACTGCGCTGGTCCTGTTAATTTCATTTGGGGTGTGAAAGTGCAATTTTTTGGACATAGGGTGCTGCTCAATGTCCCCTAAGATCTGCCATAAAGGGCCTCCTATAGCTAACCTGCTCCAGCCTCCCATGCTGGCTGCGCCCCAAATCAGAGTCTCATCAGGCCCCTGTATACCGCTTCCCATTGCTGCAGTCTCTCCACGTCCAAGTCTCACAACTCTCATGGCCATGTGCCACTTTCAGGTCTCCTCACACTGCTGGTTGTGCTAGAATTTTTTTGACATAGGGTGCTGGCAGATTAAACGGGCCTCCCATAGCTGCTGCCAGGCCCCTAATCTGCCATAGGCCCCTATATACCCGCCCTCCTCATGCTTGCTGCCAGGTCCAGAGTCTGTCATGGGACCCTGTACTGGCCTCCCATTGCTGCTGTCTCCATCGCCACAACACTCTGCCATGTGCCACTTTCAGGTCTCCTCACACACTGCTGGTGTGTAGAATTTTTTGACATAGGGTGGCACTTGGCAGATTTTAAGGGCCTCCCATGAAGCTGCTGGCCAGGGCCCCTAATCTGCCATAGGCCCCTATAACCTTAACCCGCCTCTCCTCATGCTGCTTGCCAGGTCCAGAGTCTGTCATGGGTCCCTGTACGGCCTCCGCCATTGCTGCTGTCTGTATCCTCCATCGCCACACCTCTGCCATGTGCCACTTTCAGGTCTCCTCACACACACTTGGGCGGGCTGGTTGTGTAGAATTTTTTTGACATGATAGGGGTGCTGGCAGATTACGGGCCTCCCATAGCTGCTGCCAGGCCCCTAATCTGCCATATGGGGCCCCTATATACCGCCTCCTCATGCTGCTGCTGCCAGGTCACAGATGCCATGTCCACTCTATGTCATGGGAATTTTTTGACCCCTGTATCGGCCTCCCATTGCTGCTGTCGTCCTAATCGCCACACTCTGCATGCATGTGCCACATTGGGTCCCCTGTAGGTCTCCTCCACACACTGCTGGTGCCACTTACAGGTCTCCTAGAACTGCAGTGTTTTTTTTGACATAGGGTGCTGGGCAGATTATGGGCCTCCCATAGCTGCTGCCAGGGCCCCTAATCTGCCATAGGCCCCTATATACCCGCTTCCTTCATGCTTCGCCAGGTCCAGAGTCTCTCATGCCATGTGCGCCACTTTCAGGTCTCCTCACACTGGTGTGTAGAATCTCCTCACACACAATGCTGGTGTGTTTTTTTTGACATAGGGTGCTGGCAGATTACGGGGGGAACCATCCCAATTGCTGCTCCCAGGACCCTAATCCCAAAGCTGCCTATATACCTGCCCCCTCATGCTGCTACAGGTCCAGAGTCTCCTCATGCTGCTAATCCCTGTACGGCCTCCATTGCTGTGCTGCTGTCTCCATCGCTCATGCCATGTGCCACTTTCAGGTCTCCTCACACACTGCTGGTGTGTAGAATTTTTTGACATAGGGTGCTGGCAGATTAAGGGCCTCCCATAGCTGCTGCCAGGCCCCTAATCTGCCATAGGCCCCTATATACCGCCTCCTCATGCTGCTGCCCAGTCCAGAGTCTGTCATGGGTCCCTGTACGGCCTCCCATTGCTGCTGTCTCCATCGCCACACTCTGCCATGTGTGCCACTTTCAGGTCTCCTCACACACTGCTGGTGTGTAGAATTTTTTTGACATAGGGTGCTGGCAGATTACGGGCCTCCCATAGCTGCTGCCAGGCCCCTAATCTGCCATAGGCCCCTATATACCGCCTCCTCATGCTGCTGCCAGGTCCAGAGTCTGTGCCACTTTCATGGGTCATGGTCCCCTGTACGGCCTCCCATTGCTGCTGTCTCCATCGCCCACACTCTGCCATGTGCCACTTTCAGGTCTCCTCACACACTGCTGGTGTGTAGAATTTTTTGACATAGGGTGCTGGCAGATTAAGGGCCTCCCATAGCTGCTGCCAGGCCCCTAATCTGCCATGGGCCCCTATATACCGCCTCCTCATGCTGCTGCCAGGTCCAGAGGTCTGTCATGGGTCCCTGTACGGCCTCCCATTGCTGCTGTCTCCATCGCCACACTCTGCCATGTGCCACTTTCAGGTCTCCTCACACACTGCTGGTGTGTAGAATTTTTTGACATAGGGTGCTGGCAGATTATGGGCCTCCCATTTGCTGCTGCCAGGCCCCTAATCTGCCATAGGCCCCTATATACCGCTTCCTCATGCTGCTGCCAGGTCCAGAGTCTCTCATGCCATGTGCCACTTTCAGGTCTCCTCACACACTGCTGGTGTGTAGAATTTTTTGACATAGGGTGCTGGCAGATTAAGGGCCTCCCATAGCTGCTGCCAGGCCCCTAAATCTGCCATAGGCCCCTATATACCGCCTCCTCATGCTGCTGCTGCCAGGTCCCAGAGTCTGTCATGGGGTCCCTGTACGGCCTCCCATTGCTGCTGTCTCCATCGCCACACTCTGCCATGTGCCACTTTCAGGTCTCCTCACACACTGCTGGTTGTGTTGAAATTTTTTGACATAGGGTGCTGGCAGATTATGGGGGCCTCCCATTGCTGCTGCCAGGCCCCTAAATCTGCCATAGGCCCCTATATACCGCTTCCTCATGCTGCTGCCAGGTCGCAGAGTCTCTCATGCCATGTGCCACTTTCAGGTCTCCTCACACTGCTGGTGTGTAGAATTTTTTTGACATAGGGTGCTGGCAGATTACGGGCCTCCCATAGCTGCTGCCAGGCCCCTAATCTGCCATGGGCCCCTATATACCCGCCTGCCCCTCCATGCTGCTGCCAGGTCCAGATGTCTGTCATGGGTCCCTGTACGGCCTCCCATTGCTGCTGTCTCCATCGCCACACTCTGAGCCATGTGCCACTTTCCAGGTCTCCTCACACACTGCTGGTGTGTAGAATTTTTTGACATAGGGTGCTGGCAGATTACGGGCCTCCCATAGCTGCTGCCAGGCCCCTAATCTGCCATAGGCCCCTATATACCGCCTCCTCATGCTGCTGCCAGGTCCAGAGTCTGTCATGGGTCCCTGTTACGGCCTCCCATTGCTGCTGTCTCCATCGCCCACACTCTGCCATGTGCCACTTTCCAGGTCTCCTCACACAGTGACTGCTGGTGTGTAGAATTTTTTGACATAGGGTGTGGCAGATTAAGGGCCTCCCATAGCTGCTGCCAGGCCCTAATCTGCCATAGGCCCCTATATACCGCCTCCTCATGCTGCTGCCAGGTCCAGAGTCTGTCATGGTCCCTGTACGGCCTCCCATTGCTGCTGTCTCCATCGCCACACTCTGCCATGTGCCACTTTCAGGTCTCCTCACACACTGCTGCAAGGTGTGTAGAATTTTTTGACATAGGGTGCTGGCAGATTACGGGCCTCCCATAGCTGCTGCCAGGCCCCTAATCTGCCCATGGGCCCCTATATACCGCCTCCTCATGCTGCTGCCAGGTCCAGAGTCTGTCATGGGTCCCTGTACGGCCTCCCATTGCTGCTGTCTCCATCGCCACAGCTCTGCCATGTGCCACTTTCAGGTCTCCTCACACACTGCTGGTGTGTAGAATTTTTTTGACATAGGGTGCTGGCAGATTAGCAGGGCCCTCCATAGCTGCTGCCAGGCCCCTAATCTGCCATAGGCCCCTATACTACCGCCTCCTCATGCTGCTGCCAGGTCCAGAGTCTGTCATGGGTCCCTGTGTACGGCCTCCCATTGCTGCTGTCTCCATCGCCACACTCTGCCATGTGCCACTTTCAGGTCTCCTCACACACTGCTGGTGTGTAGAATTTTTTGACATAGGGTGCTGGCAGATTACGGGCCTCCATAGCTGCTGCCAGGCCCCTAATCTGCCATAGGCCCCTATATACCGCCTCCTCATGCTGCTGCCGAGGTCCAGAGTCTGTCATCAGGGGTCCCTGTACGGCCTCAGCCATTTGCTGCTGTCTCCATCGCCACACTCTGCCATGTGCCACTTTCAGGTCTTCTCCTCACACACTGCTGGTGTGTAGAATTTTTTGACATAGGGTGCTGGCAGATTAAGGGCCTCCCATAGCTGCTGCCAGGCCCCTAATCTGCCATAGGCCCCTATATACCGCCTCCTCATGCTGCTTGCCAGGTCCAGAGTCTGTCATGGGTCCCTGTACGGCCTCCCATTGCTGCTGTCTCCCATCGCCACACTCTGCCATGTGCCACTTTCAGGTCTCCTCACACACTGCTGGTGTGTAGAATTTTTTGACATAGGGTGCTGGCAGATTACGGGCCTCCCATAGCTGCTGCCAGGCCCCTAATCTGCCATAGGCCCCTATATACCGCTCTCCTCATGCTGCTGCCAGGTCCAGAGTCAAGTCTCATGGGTCCCTGTACGGCCTCCCATTGCTGCTGTCTCCATCGCCACACTCTGCCATGTGCCACTTTCAGGTCTCCTCACACACTGCTGGGTGTAGAATTTTTTGACATAGGGTGCTGGCAGATTACGGGCCTCCCATAGCTGCTGCCAGGCCCCTAATCTGCCATGGGCCCCTATACCGACTTTTCATGCTTTGACGTTGCAAACAAGGTGGAATTCAACCCTACATATGTTAGACCGCCTTTACGAACAAGCAAAAGGCCATCACAGATTTCCTGATGTTAAAAGCGGATAAAGGTATTCCCTGTGTAACTTAGATGTCAGCCATTGGGCAGCTCAATGCGTGACACCTGCGCTTCTGCTCAGGCCCTTTGAGGAGGCCACGCTATTCGTGAGTCGGCAGGACTATGGGATGAACGACGTCATTCCTCTGTTGCACGTCCTGGAAACAATGCTGTTAACAATGGCTGGTCAGGGTGGGTGCGGTAGACGTGGCGCACAGATCTCAACGCCACATGACCCCTGTGGGGGGCAGGACAGGAAGAAGAGTGAGGGGTAGAGGAGGACATTGGTGCTCAGGAAATTATTGAGTGAAATGGTGGTTTTTCCACTCAGCGGACAGGAGTGGAGGAGCAGGAGCATCTGGTAGGAGGAGGAGGAGGAGGAGGAGACAGAGGACCCAGGACGCACCGTGGCAGTATGCTGTGGAAGATGGAGGCAGGGAGTCCCTCGCATTCCTTGGCACAAATGGCCCATAGCATGCTCGCTTGCTTGCGTAGCGACAGCCGAATAATAACCATCAGACAGAGGGATGACTTTTGGCTGTCCCACCTTGTTGGACCCTCGCTACCGTTCAACAATGGTGGCCCTTTTTCACACCTGCTGAGAGGGAGGCCAAAATAACGTACTATAAAAACCACCTATGTAGTCAGCTGGTCTCTGCCTGTCTGCGCCAACGTCCATCCTCAGACACTGTGGGGCCCTGTGCGCTCGCGTTCCGCTGCCATGGCAGCAGGGGAGGGGTGGGGTGGTAGGAGCAGAGTGGCAGCTCCACCAGCAGCGGCTGCCTCAGTCTGCAGTCGATGATGAGTAGCTTTCTTCACCAGCGCAGTGAGGAAACTACTAACCAGCCGCAGCAGCAGCAGCAAGCAGCAGCA